GGGGGTGGGGCTTGCTCTGGGGGTGGTACAGCACCCAGTTCTTGGAGGAGCAGAAATTTCAGTCTTCATCCAGCCTGTCCCTGGCTCTTCTCAGCTCAGGTGAGACCAGGGCAGCCTCTCCAAGCCCTAGCTTTGAGCGAGGACTGCCAAGCCTTGCTGACCAGTGTGTGTCTCTTCCAGACCAGCCTCCTCCCCGATGTTACCGCACGCTGACACCCACTCCCGGATCGAGCACTTCGCCAGCAGGTATCACCGCTGGGCACTGCTGTCATGCCAGGGCACGGAGCATGACCCCAATGGGTGTGGAGGGGCTTCTGGGCAGACACACGGGGAGCTCCTGCTGCCCTCAACCACCTCAACACTCCCCAGCATGCTATCTGGCAGGCAGAAGGTGGCTGTGGAGGCTCAGGCTGAAGTGCTGTTGGGAAGGGGCAGCTGCAAGGCCAGACAAACCTGCCTGCACCACTCTGCTCCTGCTTGGGCCATGGCTCATGCCGTGCAAATTGCCAGCAAACACCTTGCATTTGACAGCAGATGTCTTAGCAGTGAAGCAGTTTCCATGTACCTTCTTGGTTGGATTCTTGCCAGGCAGATCCCTCCATGTCTTGCTCTGCCTGTGCATTCACCAGTGCTGCTTGTGTGCTTCCCATTGCTGCTGTCTTGTGGTTTGTAATGTCTCTACCCTCACCATGGGTCCAGGCAGAGTGGGCACACAAGAAGCACAGGGAGCCTGTAGCTCAGGCCCTAGGCTGGATCTGATATGCTTTCACCCATCTCCTTTGCTTATGTGAGAAGAGGCTGAGCTGGCTGCATGGCAGCAGCCCTTTATTCCAGAGACTGTCTGGAGACTAACTCAGAGCAGCAGTGTCTTTTATTTTCTAAAAAGCCTGTAAAGAGGGGCAGACAGGTGCAGGCTGGCTGGGAGACCCTGCCAGAGAGGGGTCTTGCAGGGGTGTATTGAGCAGACATTCGGGGTGTCTCTGACCATATCTCAACCTGTTTCTCTTTCCTCCAGGCTTGCAGAGATGGAAAATCAGAACTGTTCCTTCTTCAGTGACAGCCTGTCCCCTGATGATAGCTTGTGAGTTTTGCCTTCTTTCCCTCCTCCCGCTGAGTCAGGGCTCCTGTAGCTTCATCCCAGCCTAGCCAGGGTGTAGAAATATTTTCCTTCCCAGCTCCTTTGAGTCTGAGACTCTTAGGCATCCCCAGCTATCTGGGGGTGCTGAGCTGCTCCTGAGCTCTAGCCCTGGAGCAGCTAGAATGAGCTCCCATATGAAAGCACCTCCCTCCAGGCTGTCCTTCCCCAAGGGCACACAAATCCCATGAGACTCATGTTCCTTCACCTGCCACAACAGGGACGAGGACCAGTACCTGCTGCGCCATTCCAGCCCCATCACTGACAGAGAGCCTGGGGGCAGCCAGCAGGTTCCAGGAAGCCTCAACATGGATGACAAGGGAGAGCTGGAGCGAATCCTGGCTCACTTAGAGGATGAAAACAGGTAGGGCATGGGCAACTCTGAAAGTGGGGTTTGTAGCCTAAGGGGAGGGGGCTGGAGAAGCCTGGCAGAGCTCAGAGTGGAGCCAGCTGCTGGGGCTGGAGGGGGGCATCAGAGGAGCTAAGTGGGCTGGTTTGCAGGGTGTCTGGGTTGAGCCCTAAAACCTTCATGGGAGCACTCAATGATGGTGTGTTCTCCAAGGAAGGGAGAAGACTCTGTTCCCCAAAATGTTCCTGTTCCCATCACCAGAACCTGTCCCCCTCCTGAACCCCAAAATGGTTGAAGTGACCCACTGCTGTGTTTCTTGTCTGTGAGCCCCTCTGGACCACATGAGGTGAGGGTCTGAGCAGGGCAGGTTGTCTCATGAGGAGGTGATGCTTTCCCTGCCTTTGTTCTCAGCCTCTTAGGAAGCAGTTGTGTGTCTTTTTTAAACTTCGCAAGTTGGGTAGAGCTGCAGGGAAACCACCTTGCAGTGCAGGGAAAAAGTCTCAGAGTGTGCTGGTTCTCAAGCTTCACATGTGGCAAAAGCTTCCAGGGGTGTTCTGACTCTGAGTCATGAGCCACCCCAAAGTGTGCAGCTGTTGGGTGTTTTCAGCAGTCTCTAGGAAGGAGAGTGGCGATGCTGACCTAGACTATCTTGCAGGGTCCTCCAGGGAGAGCTGAGACGTTTGAAATGGCAGCATGATGAGGCAGTGGAGTCTCCAACCTTGGCTACAGGCTCCCCTGAATCAGTGCAAGATCCACGTAATGATGAGCTCCTGGCAGAAGCACGAATCCTCCGACAGCACAAGAGCCGCCTGGAGACCCGCATGCAGATCCTGGAGGACCACAACAAGCAGCTGGAGTCCCAGCTGCACCGGCTGAGAGAGCTGCTACTGCAGGTACTCTGAGCAAGGATCTGGGGAAGCCCATCCTTGGGGTGACCTTTGCCATAACAGAGCTGCGACAGTGGCAGAAAGGGATGGTCAGAAGTGGGGAGAAAAAGGACAGAGGGTTGTGAGAACCCCCCCTTCTCTCTCCAGCCTCCAACAGAGTCAGATGGCAATGGTTCAGCAGCATCTTCCTTGGTTTCATCTCCACATCAGTCTGAAGGCAGCCAGGCAAAGGAGAAAGAGCACAACACCCCTGACACCGAAACTGCAGGTGGGGATTGGGGTTGTGCTGAGGTCTAGGCCCTGCTCCCTTGGTTTAATGCTGCAGGAAGCTGCCTGTGTCCTGTCATCCTGCAAAGATGCAAGGTGGATGCCCAAAGATGCTGCTCACCCCCCTGCCCTCTTTCCCACTGCAGATGAGGTAGAAGCCAAAACCCAGGAGGTCGGCGTGTGCCTGGAAGACATCATGGAGAAGCTGCGGAGCGCCTTCCCCAACTCTCGAGGTACTCGAGTGAAATCCGCCTCTCTGGCCTCTTACTGCTCCCTCAGATGAGGTTTTCCCCGCAGACCCCTGCCCTGGTCCCAGCTTCCCTGCGACGGCCAATCCCCCGCAGTACCTACAGCCAAGAGCTATGCTGCCGCGGCGCTGCTGGGACTGGTGTGTGGCCTGGGTGCAGAGAGGATGAGGAGGAGGTTTCACACCTGCAAGAAGAGGCAATCAGAGCTGCCAAGAGTATGGACCAACTCCTCAGATGAGCTGCAAAGCAGCCTCCTGCCCTGCTTGGGACCCCGCACCCTGTGGGTCTCTCCCCTGCGAAGATGGACAGACCTGCCAGCATCAAGTTTGCAGTGATCACCTTGAGCCACCTCCTCGCTGCATCCCTGCCCAGATCCCTTTCCAGGAGAGGTCGAGGCCCCAGTTAACTGGCACAATGGAAGAAATGGTGCAAGCTCTCCTAGCTGTTCATGGATGGCTCCTCCCTGCAGGGATGGGGACTGGGAGTTGTAAGTGTGGACAGTGGTCCACTTGCCCAGTGGGTTTTGGGGTTGGTCTTTCTGCTGTCCCTCTGTGCTCCAGCCCAGGAGCAGCACTCAGTCCTTCACCCAGGCTGCCCATGTGTGTGCCAGCAGGGAGACACTGCTCTGTGCCAGCACTAATATGAGGTGGGGGAGAGCTTCCCCATCTGCTCTTGTAGACCCTTGGCCACTTTGTCATTCCTGAGCAGGATCCTTCTGGCTCTGCAGCAGCCCCATCCTAACCAGGTGGCTCTGGGTCCTATTTTCCTGACCATTTCTCTTTCAGGTATGACCTCCCTTATCTAACAACTCCTGTGAGCCAGAGGCTTTTCCTAACCAGCTACCTGCCTGCTTTCCTACCTCCCCCTCTCCCTGCCATGCTCCCTGTGCTGCGGCAGACCTCACACAGACTTCCTCTGAGATGGTCGTGCAGGATGCTTGTCAGCTCCAGAAGATCTCAGGGCAACATAGGTCATGCAGGAGTGGGACTGTGGGCTCCCCAGGAGGCTGGCTCGGTAACTTGGCTACAATGTCGAAGCCTGGGTGGAAAGGGTCAGAAGAACGAACTCAAGCGGTGAAAGGTGAAGGCTGCCTGTCTCTCCCAGCACTCCCTTGGGGGATGCGAAGCTGAGCATCCCGCTCCTCTTCAGTTGTGCCCAGGGGCCTCCAGGTTTATGGGCACCAAAACTCTTCTGGAGCCATACAGTTTTAAAAAGAACTCTTTCTAACAGCATCTAGCTGCCAGCCTTATGTACTCTCTCTGCCACCCAGGGCTCTACAGCCAGCCAGCACATACGGTGTGGTGGGGAGAGTCTGTGAGATTTACGGAGTAGGGATGAGTCCATGTTAGAGCTTCAGCCCAGCTAGTAGCCTTATCTTGAGAGGGTCTTTATAACAGAGCCTTATCATTTAATTTGCATATATTTATATATATTATATATACATGTTCTGTACCTAAATACTTTCATGGACTCACTCCATTAAATTCTAACACTTTAAGCGTAACTGTCCTTCACTTTCAGTCCAGCCCAACATCCACTCCCGTGGGGACCAGCACCTTCCATGTTGCTGGTGCTGCCTTGGAGCAGGACTGGGCACTCAGTGAAGGGCCGGACCAGCAGCAGGTACTCTGTCCCACCTGCTTTCCCAGGGAGCTGTGCCCCTGCACAGACAGAGAGCCTGTCCTGCCCAGACCCAGCTCCATCCCTGGAGAGCCTGGGCTCCTGCGCAGCTCATCCCCATGGTGCTGCAGGAAGGGGTTTCTCCAGCCATAGCTCCAGCCCTGGGGCCCACGGGATGTTGGGCTGCAATGCAGGAGCTTAGTGGTGTGGGCAGGCAGGGTGCCTCCTCGCTGCCCCCAAGGAGCAGCTGCCCTGCTGCTGTCCCCCAGTTTGAGCTGGGCTGATGGGCCAGAGACATTCCCTGGAAGCAAATGAGTCCCAGTCCCACTGGGCAGTGGAGGAGGCTGTTCTGCAAGCTGGCAGGTAGCTCGATGGTGGTGGCTCCTGGCCCCAAAGGCTTCCTCAGGGTGGCTGTCTCATACAGTGTTATGTCGAGAAAGAGGTAGAGTCAGGTGCTGTGGGGTGCCCCAGAGCGGAGGCTGAGATGATCCTGGTGCTCTGGGGCCACAGGTTGTGGAGGGGTGAGATACCTGAGCTCACAGAGCAGGGTGCATGCAGGGCTGCATGCCAGTGTGACATTCTGCCCAAAACAGGGCTTGCTGTGAGGACAGGGATGGGGCTGTCGCTGGCTGGGACGGGATGCAGGGATGAGCTGTTCAGGGAGGTTCAGACCAAGGCGGTGTCTGGAGGCACAGGTGCAGTCAGTTTCCATGTGCCACAGAGGGGCAAAGCCTCAGGGATGAGGCAGGCCAAACGTCATGGCCAGGCGTCTGGGGTCTGTGCTGCACACTAGCAGCAGTGCAGGCTGCTGTCCTTGCCATCCCCTCCCACACCCGGGCAAGCAACAGGAGTGCAGTGGTGGTGGCACTGGTGTTAGCCTGGCTGTAAGCGTTGTGTGGTGAGGGACCACAGGCCAGCCTGCAAGACCTGGCCGGACCCCCCTCTGTTATCCCAGTGGCAGGATGGGGGGAGTGTGGGGGGAGTTTTGGCCCGAGGATGAGGACAGGAGTACCCAGCCTGAGGGGAGCTGGAGGAATGAAAAGGCAAGAGGAGGGCAGAGGTGCTGGCTCCAGTGCAGGGAGCAGCGGGGGCCAGGCTGAGGGCTCAGGCTGTGTTCGAGAGCTGGGATGCTGCAGGGACGGGAACAGGCTGGCTAAGGCTCTGGTAATCATGTACTGTGGTGCTGCTGTCATTGCTGCTTCGTGCCATCTCTGCTCTGGAAAGAGAATAAATTTGTACTTATACCGAGACCTGGATTGGTGCTCTGGCTTCTTCTATCTGTGCACCTTGGCTGAGTCAGAGCATTTCCTGCATTGTGCCATCCTGGCACCACTCCTGCAGGGCTGCTGGGACACAGATGTCCCTGTGCCCTGTGTCACCCCGGCTGTCCACACTATTCATGTCAGAGCAGAAGCTGTGAGAGGAGCCCTGAGGTCCCCCAAGCCAGGTGCATCCCCTGACCACCATCTTCCTTTGTTTTCTTCCAGCAAGGTCTGCTCAGGGACACATGGCAGCCTGAGGGTTGGGCAGGGGCTGTGTGGGTACAATCCCTCTTCTTTGCCTGGGGACTTCTGCCGTAGGAAACCCTTCAGCCCCAGGAAGGATGTAGGCAGCAGTGAGACGCTGGGCAGACAGTCCTCCCTCCATGCTTTCTCCCTGGAGTCCCATTAGGTCTCCAGTGCCCAGAGGTGTCCAGGTGCCTCTGTCCCAAGCGCTGCCCCTCTGCCTCTGTGGCACAGTGAGGGGCCCAGCTGAGGACTAGCCCAGGGCAAGGCTGGGGCCTCTCAGGCCTTCCCTGAGGCACAGGGTGCAGCCCAGCCTCATCTTACAGTGAAGCCTCCCCAGGACTGACACTTGTAGTGCTGGTCCTGTTCTCACCCCTGCCTGGAAGGGCTGGTGATGCTGGGCAAAAGCTCACGTGGTGCTACTGCAAGAAAACAGCTCTCTCAGGGGAGAGGTTTGGGAGCTTAAATGTGGGTGGAATACAACCTCTTTAATTCTCTCTTTTGAGGGTAGAGCAAAATGCCTCACCCCATCCCTGCACCACTGGCTCCAGGGCAAGGCACAGGTGTGGGCTTTTATCAGGGAAGCTGGTCATGTCCAGAAACAAATCCAGCACATGGTGCCAAGGAAGAGCTTTTATTTCGCAGCCAGCAAAGCTCAGCAGGGTCCAGCTGAAAGGCACTGGAGCTGATGAGTTAGGGCAGGGAGGCAGCAGGCTCTGCCACACATCGGGGCTGGTGGCCCCAGGGTGGGGACAGCATTGTTCCTGTGTCACTGCAGGGCCAGGCCCCAGCCCTGGGGCTCCCTCTCACCATACAGCAGCCCTGCTGACTGTGCTGTGCCTTCTCCCAAGTGGTCCAGCAGCCTTTCCCTCATCCGGGGGTAATGGGCCCTGCTCAGGGCAGGCTGTGCCCCAGGGTTGTGGCCCTGAGCTCTGTTCTCTCTGCACTGCCCTGGGGGCTCGTCGCCCCCTTCCCTGGCTGCTACGGGGTAGGGGGCTATTCTGCCCCTCCGCCCAGCTCCTCATCTGCCTCTGAGTGCCCAGCCTGGAACACTGCCCGAGGGGTGAAGCTGTCTGGGGGGATGTTGCCTTCCCCAGCATTTCCTCAGCGGCTGCTTGCTTGCTACTCCCTGCAGCTCGTCTCTTCCAGTGTGTTTGTGGGTGTTTCATCCTCTAGCTCTGGGAGCCCCTCAGCTAGCCCCGGTCCCTCTCTGGGTGGCCCTGTCTCTGAGGCTTCGCCTGGCTCAGCCCCAGCCACGCTTCCTGTGTCGGCTCCCTCTGCCCCACCGGCTCCCTGCTTCAGCCCCTGTCTGAGCCCTACTGCCTCATCTTGCCCTACAGACAGCTTTTCCAGCTCTGCTGCTGGACCCGCCGCCTCCTCCTCCTCCCCTGCCGCCGCCGCCTCCTCCTCCTCCTCCTCTGCCGCCTCCTCCTCCTCCTCCTCTGCCGCCTCCTCCTCCTCCTCC